TGGAGCCCCTTGGCCCCCTTGACAAGAAAATCAATAGAAGTCCATAGAAGGCCTACAGCTGTCAGGCTAATGTTTAGTTCAGTTTTCTGTGCACAATATGATCCAGTAACATCGATACAACTGTAAAATAAGTTCAGATCAGTCAGTTCCTTTACCCCTTTGCAAGGAGTTGATGTGACAATAGATAAAATATGCATGAATGTGTACACAGTGCAAAACCAGTCAAGTTCAAGCATGCATTTTCCCTAGAGTGGGTCAAAAAGTTCAATGCATTTTCATTCAAAATAATTTCACATGAAGTATTTAGTTATTGATGAATACATTCAGCATACAGCCCACAAAGCATATTTGTCATTTAACACACAATTAGGAAAAAACCCACTCTTAGTGCACATGCAACTAGGCTAGGTGCACTTCATTGAAATTGTCATGTATGGATGGGATATACATGTATGTGTGTTTATTGATGAGTTCTACGTGGAAATTTTGAATGAATTTGGTTTGATCAAGTGTCTTGTAGTGAAGTTGAGTAACACCAACCCAGTGATTCTATCATTGTCGGAAATACAATATATTGTATTCCTTATAACTGGCAATATCTCAGTTTCCATATTGCATTAAAATTGTAATAATTTAAATAGGCGAAAATAATAATATAGATATAAGCGAGGGAGTAGAACAAGAACGTTGTTTAGAAAGTTCCTTTTCCACCTTTCCCCCATTCACTTTCCCCAATTCGTTCTCCTATTCCATAGATAGGAAAGAGTTTAGTGTAGATTCATGAATAAACATACTGACTTGATTTTATTGACTCTAGTCTACATGACAATTGCATAACCAATTTGTTTGGAAAATGTTGAAGTAGACAAAATCAAGAACCTCTCTTCCACCGAACTCACACTCTTAACAATACGTGTCTTGCTCAAACAACTCCTGTATGAAGGCAAAATACCCGCATCACCACAACATCAAATTATGTGCACCACTACAAAGAGGAATCTGCTGTGGACAACAATTCAGACCACCACTCTCTAATTAAATATGCTGAAATCGAATTTATATTGTTCTCTATAGAAGTTGGCCCCTTGTATTGGCTACAAGGTTGTAGTTCCTATTTGTGTGATGCCAACGTTCCAGACTCATAACAACAACAATATGCCTAGTAAAAATTCCACATAGTGGGGTTTGGGGAGGGTGTGTGTACGAAAACTTTAATTTTCTCAAAGAGTAGAGAGGTTGTTTCTAAGAGACCCCCGACTCAGGACAAAGTGGAGCACATCGGTGAAGGAAAGTAGCACGAACAAAGAAATCACCCAAACAAAACAAGCATACAAGAAGAAACTACAAAAGGTGCACAAGCAGACAAGCAAAAACCAAAAACATAAGGCCTTAAAGACCTATCACCCTAATATTAGACCTCAAGACAGTCTTATCTAAGGCCATTTCCTTGGTAAGATACTGAACTTGTAAGTCGTGTATAATCACTTCCTTCTAACTCTTCTTAGGTCTACCTCAACGGCTTCTCACATCCCCTACCTCAAGCCTCTCACATCGTCTCACTAGACTTCTCCTCAGTATGCGTTCAGACTATCTCAAATTATCCTCCATAGAGGCCACAACCATCCTCCCTAGAACATCCTCATTCTAGAGGCCACGTGCAGCTGGCCTTGTCCTCTCCCACCTGATCAAGACAACCATCACAATTGGCTTATGTTGGTTGCATAGCCACAAATAACGTTGACAGTACACCCAACAAGCACAAGTTTAATCGACATTAGGACATCATTAACCCTTCTCACCTTGACCACAAGCTCATAAAGATCTAGATCACTCAAAATGCCAAGCTCATTCTTGTTCCTTGGAGCGCCAAAGTACCACATTTTGATCACATCCACATCATGTGTTTTGGTGTCGGCTCATCTGGTTTTTTGGTTGCACGCAACATGAAACTTCTTCTTAAAAACTTTCACCAACTCTATAAACTTCCCCTTAAGGACCCTATGTTCCATGACCCAAATCCCAATCTAGGCGCCCATAACCTTCCTTGCCAACCCACCCGCCAAACCCACAAAACTGAGGATACGACCTTACATAATCACTAGCCAAAGCCACATAGACTACTCACATCCCATCACAAAAGGGAGACCATAAGAAACCCACAAAAAACAAGCACAAAACAAAAGGGTAGGACATGAAAAAACCTAACACTACCAAAACACGAGACAAAGACAAGCAAGTACTACGTATTTAACAAAGTAGAAACACAAGTAAGAATTTAACTATGGACACTAACAACAACAACAACAACCCAGTTAAATCCCACAAGAGTAGGGTCTGGGGAGGGTGTGTGTACGCAGACCTTACCCCTACTCGAAAGTAGAGAGGCTGTTTCCAAAGAGACCCCCGGCTCAACGTCGAAATTTGCATTGCTTGACTAACTGCTACTTCATTAATTAAAGAAGCGCAGACAGTTTAGAGATCCATTTTGATTTATTCCATCACACCCCAAAGCCAAAAAATGGTGAAATTTTGGATCTCATCTTGAAACCAATCTTCTCGCCTTCACACAAAGATTAAGTGTTTCTTGTTTTTCCTATCGCTCACCGCAACTAATTCAAAAGAAAAAAATTAGTTGCTTTGTATAAAAAAACAAAAAAAGGCTATTGATGAGTGCTTTCGATGCATTGTTGCTTTGCATGAGTGGTTACAAATGACCTATGGGAAAGGGTATTTATACTCCACCACCTCCTCAACGAACGACCAAGATCTCCTTCATTAAGACTCTTCCATACAAATACTCCATATGTTCGCAAATTTAATTCACTTTCCCCTTAATGATTCCCAAAATAAGTTTTGCAATTTTCTCATTTCCATTTATAGAAAAGAATGTGCCTCACATAATTTCTCACTTTTAAGCAAATCATAACCACGCATCTTTAACTTATCATCATTATTCTTGAACGATGTGAAGTCAAACAACGATATTAATTTAGGAACACAAGAATATCTAAGATATTTATCTCTCTATACTTTTATACTCTTCTGGAACATTCTAGACCTCTCCATAAAGTCTTACACAATTCTAGTCTTCCAGGCATGTTTAGACTTGTGGAGTCCATTCTTTGTTAGTTCTGTGTACAAACACTTTAGATAGTTTAGGCAAACTTAAGTTGTGTGTTACACGTTGCATGGGCAACACCCACATCATACACATGCAACGGGATCACGATGAGAGTCATGTTTGATGCCAATTCTCTCCCCCATATTGCGACCCAAAAGCAACAAAAGAGATGGCATAAAGGGTTACAAGAATGTGAATGAGCAAGTGTAGTGAAAGGTACAAGATTTTTTTTACATTCGTGGCAGTGAAAGCAAATAAAAGATGAGAACAAGATTTGAAGGAAAAGAAAGCGATAATAAGGAGTATGCATTATTTAATGTGTGTAGAATAAAGGAATACACATAACCCTGTTTATGTCTTATACACCAGCTTACAATGAAAAGTGAGAGCAAAAGATGAAGAATCTGTCTTAGATTACGATCATTAGGATATAGTAGCCTCATTTTTCTGCAACTAAGTTTACTGTGCTAATCATGTAATTGGGGTTAACCATCTAAAATAAGTAATCCACCAAACAATTTAAACATGGTTTTATATCTTAGGTGTAGGGTTTTGAGAACAAATTATTACTTACACATGAAGGCAATTAGTAGGTATTGATGAAAGGCCATCATTCATAATAATGCGGAGGCACTGTAATGGAAACAATATCAACCAATTCAAGAATTACATTTACATTAGTTGAAACCACTCCTAATAATCATCAACCAAGAAAATTGATAAAAAGAAAGGATGTAACAGATGGTTTATAATAGAATATAACATGTTCTGCTTCATATAATTTACTCAAAGATGTAAGCCTTTTAAGATTCAAAATTTGTTAAGGATAGACATAAAAAAATACTACGTAACACTTTATTTTGGAAAGGCTAGAACCATAATCGATAATAATTATACTTTGTTAAGCATATCTTGTTCATATCATTTCATCCAATGTTTCTATGCTTATTCATCATGAAATTACTACTAGTATTGGTTATATGATGATACCCAATAATAGTATTAATAGAACCACGAGTTGGCATTCTAAGGCTTGGCATTTAACAACCACTAACGCACACATGATAACGGTGTCTAAGATCTAGACCATTAAATATGTCCATCAAAACCCAGAGTATCAATTGCTAAAACCAGAAAGTATATACGCCTAGACACGCAGGCATAAGAATTTGAAAGTATGTCAGAATGGAAACTTTTCTTCTTGATAAAACATTTTATGTTCTCACCTGGAATCCAAGAGAAATGAGATCCTTCTCAGCGGCATGCGCCACAGACCTGCACAAAAGTCAAAACAACTTGTAAAGGAGCGAGAGATGATCTGAATACATCCAAAAACACTTCAATCAAGCAGAAGATCAGTAAGGAAATAACTTTTCAAACACAATGAACACCTTAGAATGTCAAGAATATATGGCCAGCTATAATGCAGCTTTTCTCCATGCCTCTGGAAAAAAAATAGATGCAGCGTGCATAAATGTGGGTGTGAACATATAAAAGACTATAGAATATATAGATGCAGCGTGCATAAATTTTAAATCACTTCTAAATATGTATATTACATTACAATACCTCCAAAACATGAAGAAGAATTTTAAGCAATGCAACACGAATATCAACGCTTTGTGTTGAAGAATAAAGGGTTGTTAAGGGAGATATGATAGCACGTTCGAGTGATCTCATCTCTATATTCTCAGGGCAAACCTGGTGGGGTCATCAAAAATAAAAGTATAAAACATTGTTTTCAAGTCATCATAAGAAAATATCAGCATAAAAAACAACACTAATATTGGTTCTTGGATCATAGCTTTCCATTAGCCTAGGTATGCAATCTTTTTTAGGTTGTTGGAGAATGCCCTGCCTATACTTCTGCATAACTCTTGGGTACATATTATATATATTTAAAGTTAACCCCAAAAAAACAACAATAATGGAAATGATGATGGTACTTGTTATCTATCTCACATTGATTGAAGGGTTATGAGACCTTAGTGTAATTTAGAAATTTTGGCAAATCTATACCCTTTGAGGCATTTGAGGATCAATTTGGGGTGTAGTTAGGCCCAATTAACATTATATCAAAGCCTACCCATTTGTGGTTTATAATGTTACACGACCGCTAATTTGTTACATCCTCATTGATATTGGGACTCAAATGCACACGATGTTAGGCAAATTTGCAAGACTCACAGTATGAGAATGATATGTTGAACTCAAGATACAATTGATTTCATATTAGAAGAGATGGATGTCCTCAGCAACAATGAGAAGTAAATGGAGTTACTACCCCTGCACAAGCAAGAGCTTTAGATATATCACTATCAAGAATATAGAGGCCCTCCAACTCATGCCTCGTACAACTAATACTCTTTGACCACAAACCTTGAAACTTGAAAGAAGCAATGATCAAAGATATGAGGTGGCGCAACAATTGGTAGCACGAGTAAGTTTGCTTAGAAGGAACAAAAAAATGCAAATCTAGGAAATACAAACTAGATGGCAAGGGGTAGGTTTAGCACTACCAAACCTTCGTATCGAAGAGGTAGACCCATCAGCCAAATTGAATACACGATGTGTTTATCTAGAGATAGAGAATAAGCTAGGTTGACCTATCATATTGGTTTGTGGCCCCTAAGTCAATCACTTATTGAGAAGAAGATGAAGTCAAACATGTGTTAAGAAAATGAGATGCAACTCCAATAATCTCTGCAAGATATAAAAAACATAAACACAAGGAATTCACACCACACACGCATACACAAATGAGAGCAGGGAGCAACCCTTCAAAAAATATAAGCCGGCATACAAGCCCAAACTTCCAACAAAGTCCATGCCCTAACTAAGAAGACCTTGGCTACCTGAATGGCAGCCACAAAATAGGAATGCGGTGACTCACACGCCGACGTATGAAATACTGACCGAGGACTATAGTGGTGCATGCAGAGCACGCGCAAGTCCAATGGCAGTGAAGCTTTCAGAACCGGTCTTTGGCTGCGGCGACCCTTCCTAAATGGCGGTGACAAGAGAAGATGTTCTTGTTACGCAAGTAATTAATCCGAATGCTTTTGTGAAAAGGTCTCCCAACTCTTCTCCCTTCTTCAAAAAAACATGATGATGATGGGTGTTAAAGGTAAGTATAGTCGTAAAGTTGATGAAGACTCCAATTCTAAACATATTGAAGAAGACTTGAGAGGAAGAATTATGAAGGAGATTTAAGATGACTTTGCCCTGCAGATATCTTGTAAATAATCCTTCATTAATGCGACACATACATTCTGTCCCTCTTGCTCATGTCACAAGGAATCAGAGAGATGTCATTTCTTTAGTGATATTCCAGCTCAAATACATTTTGCCCTTGATGAAAAAATCTGAAAGCATTGCATCAGAACTTTTACTCTGCACATTAATATGTGCAGCAGAACATTTCCTCAATCCTCATAAGCATTAAAACCCTATTACACTCCCCCTGACCAAGAATGAAACCTTGAAGGTTGCTCTGTGTACACTTTATCTTGAAGTTCACTGTGTAAGAAAACAATTTTATATAACGTTGATGCAAGAGCTAATATTACTTCAAATGAATGTTCAGAAAAATGCTTGGGTTGAATATTTCCCTCTCATCTCAATAATACATCAAGTAAAAATACATTGTTTAACGGGAAATAATGTGTTAGCCTCAAAGGCATTTCCCAATTCTGATAGTTGCATACACCATGTCATCGTATGCCATATCGTTGGTGATCTACCTCTCTCACAATGTCAGGCCTCAACGTTTGAAGAAAACACTCCACGGTAGCCTCTTGAAAACAGTCCCCGAAGTCATGGGTCATCTGGAAACAGCCACAGTTGGATTCCCAAAGTAAGATACCCTTATTTTGACATTTAAGGCCAATGTCATAATACATCATCTGATTTGGGCACTTTTAGACCCCAGAATCAATAAAATTTAAAGGGTTCATTTAGTGGGGGTGCGTTGAGGCCGGCCGGGGTTAGGGGGTTAGCGGGGATATGAACCATCAACTTTTCGATCCAAGCACCGTTGGTGTCCAATGTCATATTATGACATCATCTTTTGATGTCAAAAAAGGGAGGTGACTAATAATAATAATAATAATAATAATAATAATAATAATAATAATAATAATAATAACAACTAAAAATAAAAAGGTATATGTAAACAATAATGTTTAATTGAGCAAAACGGTGAATAATTAAATACTAGTACTACCAAAAGTATCAACATCGAGAGTATACCATAAAAATAAACTTAGTTATTGGGATCCTCAAATTGAGCAAAAGCACGATAATTTACACTGCACATAACAAAAAAGGATAATGCAAAAATAACACAAACACAACAAATGCATAGAAATTCTGGACAACACACACCAAGATACGGGTATCAAATTGAGCAAGGGCAGTGCCATTATAATTTGAAAAATAAAAAAGAATTTTTTGAAACAAGATAGAAGGCTGTGAACTGGAAGTCCATCAGGAAGAACAGCGTTCCAGGGGATTCACGGCTGTAAGTTGGCCGCTGGTGTCGACATGCCTTCCTGGCCAGCAGAAGCTCTGCTACTCCGGAACAGAGCCGCAGGTATGAAGTATGACTTCTGAAGGTTGCGCACTGAGAACAGATGCTTTCTGTTTTATATATAAAAACCTTCCCTAATTTTTATCGCCGACCTACTAACCTAAACGCATACAAATATTTAAAAATAAAACAAATGGGATGTTGGTCATCAGGTTGATGTACAAATACGAACCCATGATACCTCTTTTTCCGGTTTCGTTCTCTTTGGGTTTTACAGATGAATCCGTTCCATCAATGACCGTTCCGGTTTGTTACTAGCCGCCCCCCGCAACGCTTCTGGAGCATCAAACTGCACCCAATTCCCGGCCCTGTCCAACCTAGACTCAAATAGTTGATAGTTGGTCCAGCATAGTAATATAGAATATATTTGTGTTACTTGATGGGAGCAGCAAGACGAGGTATTGTCTATCAAAATGATAAACATATGAAAATAGAATATTCTGCAGACACTGACTGGGCAGGCTCCTAGGATCATATCCATGGCTATTCATTGTTTCTTTGTCGGTCAAAATTTAGTATCCAGGAAGAGTAATCTGCTCTGGCATCTCGATGGAGTGTAGACTTAGAATATTGTGGTGTTGTATTGAATACAGCATTAAAGGAATAAACTAGATTTAAAACACCAGTGCTTGCAAGATTGTGGTGCGATAATCAAGCCGCTCTACATAATTTCTCGAAGATATGTGAGGACCCTGAGAAGAGTCTGGTTTGTTTAGGGTATATTACGTTTGAAATGAATGGTGAATGATTAATATAATTAGTGGTTATACTCTCCCTTACAATCTAATATCTACATTTCCGATCATGTTATCATTTCAACTCCCTGAGGCTGACATTTGTATGATTACTTCTCATCCTTTCTGAAATAGGATATTTATAGAACATTTAAACATTATCGAGGTAATTTTTATAAGCTATTAATTTTATCTCTCTTAAGGTAAAATGACGATCATAATAGAATGAGGAACATTATCTCACATTGCTGGCAAAGACTTTAGAGGAAGCTTGTTCCTGAAACACTTCAGATCCTAAAACAGCACATATAGATTGATCCATCGCATTCAGAGCCATATTTCTAACATGTTGGTTTGAACTACTTGTGAGCTGCAAAAGATTTGGTTAAGAAAATTATGAAACAAATGCATATGTAACATTCAGATATTCAATTACATACTCCCTCCATCCCAAAATGTTTGCACATTTGCTTTTTTAACAGTCACGGGAACTTTTGCTTATTTGTACATTTTTATTGATTATTTGATAAAATAAAGTATTCTTGACACCTCTTATTTCGAAGAATTTTTCATGTAGTTTTTAAATATGTAAATTTTATTTTTTATTTCCATACCAATATTTAAATAAAATGAATTGAAAAAACTTGATGTTTTGCCTCGTTTTTTGAAATGTGGTAAACACTTAGGGACGGAGGGAGTATCTATCAAAAAGAGCTACCTCAGTAAAGTGGCCAATCACATCATCCCACAATGGAGCCACCCCTGTCGTAAAAGTCATTATAAATTAAAACATGAAACACATAAGGTATCATTAGGGAAATCAATTTGCCTTGTACTGCTTAAGAACCAGGAGCAACACAAGTTCCAGATACACTCCCATACACGTTCAGACCTCAAAGCAAGTGGAAGAGCATTTTGTTTAGACTTAGATAACTCCGGGGGGAAAGAAATTTAGTATAATCATTCAATCACCAAAAATAAACTTGAAATTTAAATCTTTTAAGAAGATATTACAGGCCTACAGCCAGCTTTTCATATACTCCTCATCAAGTTCACATATTTCCCTAGTTCATTGATTATACACAATGATGACTTTTTCTTAATCTAAAAGTTGAAAACAAAGTAGAAACAATCAGTTTTAGGTACAAAGAAGCTATGGAAAATAGAAGCCATTCAATTAAGCATGCTGGTTCAGATCTGTCAGTTAGATGCTTCAACTGAGATTAACTGAGTAGAAACAAAAGAAGTCAACAGATATGCTGAACTCTGAAAAAAACAGAAGTCAGAAAAAAGATCCTTCATTGCCCTTTTGTATCAGGCAGACCAACATAGTTCAGAAAATATGCCTGACGTGATATGTTTGATGGTGCAATATATGTCCATAGTCACTTCATGAAATGTCAAACATGACAAACTCAAACAAAAAGCTTTTGTATTAGGCAATCTTTGAAACCCAAGTTATACGCGAGAGCATTAGAAGGCTAACCAACCAGAAAGCTGGGAAATATCATCCTAGCAAATAAACAACAACCCCAGCAAAATCCTACAAAATTAGGATCTGGGGAGGGCGTGTGTTCCGAAAGCTTACCCCTAATCGAAAGTAAAGAGGTTGTGTCCAATAGACCCTCAAACACATAAGCACAAACAAAGTAAACCCCGTAGCACGGAAAAAGTAAGAACACAGAGATAAGCACATATACCAACACTACCAACCAGACTCAATGCATAGAAAGCACGCATGCACTTGCTAAACATATACAACTTTAACTAGAAGCAGAAGGTACCAGAAAGATTCAGATCATATGAGAAAGAATCATATTAGACTGAATTAGACAACCAGATCTGACAAAGTAAGGTCATGTAAGATCCTAAAGTCATGTCTAATGACATCCCTCTTACCCTTATAGGTCAACCTCTGCCCCTTATCAAACCCACTACGGTAAGCCTCTTGCACCTCCTCACCCAACTTCTCTTTACGTATGTGCATAAACAACCTCATCAGCTCAGCCTAGCTTCTTGCAACTTAGCCTCAACATGTACCACTTCATTGTTCACCAAATATGTAAATAACCTACATGCAAAACCAAACGAATTCTTGAAAATGCACACCTCGTTCCTCAACCTAGCCTAATTATATTTTCCTAAACTATCATGGTGTAACTAAGTATTTTGATGCCTCTATAATTATCATATTTGCCCTTGTACAACTGGATCACCACTTTCTCCCTCCACTCATTGGGCATCTTGGTTATTCTAAAAAACATTATAGAACTTGGTAATCCTCATCTCGACATTCCATTAACCTCATATGCATTGCTTTCTTAGCTTGCATATTCCCTTGAACTACATCACCAGTCACTCCACCACCAATCCCTATATGTCGGCTCCCATTACCTCAGGTTATGCCTAACACCTCGCGTCAGATGCGGTTTGCGGTCTTAGCCCACACGTTATCTACCCCACATGTTGTCTGGGCCTCACCTCTTGTCTCCAATGCATTTTTCTCTTAGACTCGAGGAACCAACTTTGGAATCTTCTCCCTTCCCAAACTCTCCAGGGAGATATGAGTTAGACCATCCATAGTCCATCTCTTCATCACCCATCTCATGGCAATATCTATCACCAGTAACTTATATTGGGTTGTAAGGTTATCACTGTTAGACTTTGCATGGAAATAATTGATATGTGTTTTGGTGGTTGTTAACATAATTTCCAAGTGCAGGTTTTGATGAATGACAAACAATGTGTGATGATGGTTTCAAGCTTAATCAAGTGACAAATAATGTGTAGTGACAGTTTCAAGCTTAATCAAGTGCCAAGAACCTTGAAGACAAGCCAGGAAAGAAAAAGAGTTCAAGACTGAAGACCCAAAGACGTAGGTCATTAGGTAGAACTATTGGAATATCAATAATTAATTTATCTTGTTTCTTGGCTCAACCAAAATCATTTTTATATATGCATAAAACGGTTTTTGACTTTGAACCATAATCGGCGATATTTGGTTTTTGATCTTAGCCCACAGTTTTTTGTTCTTGGTTCACGCTCACGGTTATTAACTTAACTTGCATGAAAGCCACAAAAGTCAATTCTGTCTTTAGGCAATCGATTGTCTTGCTGCATAGTCCATCCCAGGACTTTTTAGAGACCCGTGAAAATGGATTGTCCCAATTGACAATCGGTTTTTTGGCCTTTTCCTTCTTCCCTAGACTTTCCATTTAACCTTTTAAAATTGATTGTCCATGTTGAAAATTGACTGACCATTTCAAATCGAGGCGGGTCAGGTAGGTAACATTAGACTTACAACTAATCAAAATAGTTGGGAGAAGTGTAGATGAAGTCGATAATAGTGAATGGGAGACGATAATAGCGGAGCTAAGAAAACAAAGCCCTAAGGCTGAATAGGCGATTGCCTCACACCTTCCGCCAGGTGTCCCCATTCTAAAATCGCCTCGCCCAATCCTCTTGAGGCAACATAGGGTCTCCTCAACGCCTAAGGAACCTTAGGCGAGAGAGGCGCTCACCTTTAATAACTATGGGTGAACCAGTATAAAAATCTTTGTGTTCTTCGCCTTACTTTTCGCACTTAATACTTTATTCCTACACTTTTTATTCCGCAAGAATTTAGCAACATTTTTGTGCCACACTATTCACCCCCCTCTAATGTTCGAGCACTTATTCCATTAAGAATTATTTTAGCGTCCTTACATAGCACTTCTTCGACCAATCACTTCGAATTACACCTACACAGGAGGAAGTAATCAGTCTGCAACCTCCCCACATGAATGCCGAAAGTTATCAAGTGGTCCTCCGACTTTTGAAAGAAAGAGTTGATGATCATCCAAACACTCTCTAAAGAAAATTCCAAGAGAGAAACCCACTCTAAATTCCTAACGCAAAAGCCGAACCTGGCATGCACCTCCTCAAAACCCCTCTGCATCTTCCATGACGTGGCCATTATAATCACCTCCAATGATGAATTAAAAAAATAGCAGATAAAACCAAAAAACAAAATATCAAGTGGCAAACTTGTTAGATCCTTAAGTTCACACCATTGCACACCTAGTCACCTAGACATGCACCTAAAGGGAATGTGAACACAAAGACTTGAGAAAAATGTGTTGCATTACCTAGTCACCTAGGCATGCACCTAAAGGGAATGTGAACATAAACACTTGAGAAAAATGTGTTTTATTTTATTAACGTAATTATAGAAAAAATAGAATGGCAAACCATTTGTAGTTGAGAATTTTATATAATATCAATATACTCCCATGTCACACTATTTTTAGAACATGGGGGTGGTGGCAAGACAAATTAAGAAAACTAGAATTGTGTTGTGGCTATTGATGTTAATAAATAAGAAAAAGTAAGAATGAACATGAGTCACACAAAAGCTACCGAATATTGAATGGGCCAAAATAAAGAGACTGACAAAAAAGGTAAAACAAGTATAGAACAACAACCTACCAAGTATAGTCCCACGAGTGGGGTTTGGGGTGAGTGTACACAGACCTTATCTCTACCTAGAAAGGTACGGACAAAAAAAAAAGAGGAACCGAGGGAGACAAAAAAGGATCCAAATGCTTGAATTTAGATTAAGAACATACTATGAAGATTGTTGACTAGGACTGAAAGCATTCTTTCAATCGCAAAGCTGATGCTTCCGACCTTTTGATTTGATGCTTGTACAAAGCTAACCGTTGCAGAGAGGGACTGATGTGACAACTGACGTAGTGCAGAAAGTAGGGATTTGACTGCAGATACATGCATCAAAGCTGAGCTTTCAAAAAGCTGTAAGAAATTTGAAAATAAAAATTATGGCAAAGACAGCAAGTCAGCAACAACAGAGAAAAGCTAGATGTAGAGAAAATTAAAGACAATTAAGATAACCTGAGAGTTTAAAGAAGACAGTATATGAAAATCACTGTACTGGCCAGATGAATCCCTTGTTAGTTTTGGAACAGCCATAGAGACCTCCTGTATTATTCAACAGTAGACTAATGAGGTTATTTGAATCGTTTGAAATCAAAAGGAAGCAAAGCGAATTGTGAATATATTATGACATAAAGTTATCCAATAGCAAAAATGCTGGTAGACAAAATAACAATAATTAATTCCCCTCTAAAAGCACTTAAATCAACTGTCATATGAAGACAAGAACAACAGTTTATCAATCAGCATATCAAAAAGCGCCAACCAGAGTCACTAATGTTCCTATCAATCCATTCAATTGAAATTTGAACAAAAAATTCTTTTACTTTGAATTCTTTGATAGATTTTAAAACTACCTGTGTTGCTGCATGAGGAGAATGAATAGCTCTGTCAAGAGCAGCTAGTGTTTCCAGTACCTAAAAAGTTTCAAAAAGTGTGCTCAATATTATTGACCATAGCAAACCTAAAATCAGCACACTTAGCAATTAAAAGCATGCATGTAAGTTGTATGCTTTTTATGTGGGGTAAAAATGGATTACGGATTAAGGCTTAATGTTTTCTGTCCAAAAGTTCCATATCTGTCCCACGCCATTGCCTTTTTAATTGCAGTGTTCTTTTCCCTACAAATCTGGAAGGCTTGATCTTTCTATGTGCTTCTCCAAGTTCAGAAACAAGCATTTCTATACTATATCTTTCTGTAACTTTCCTTAGTTGGCTTATTTGTATGCCACAGAAGTTTCTCATGAGAAATCTGAAGTACCTTCAATTGCAATTGCAATCCCATCATTTTCCCATCTTTAGATTTTTTTTTCTCGAATCAACTATGTGAAATTATTTATACAGAGATGCCCTATCAGTCACTCAGGAAGTAAAAAAGTTGCATGAAAACAATATAAGAAAAGAATAGAGAGAAGAGAGAAAAGGAGAAACAAAAGGAAACAAAGTGAACTACAGTAAACTGCTAAACTTCTACATCAAGGTACCAATTTCAAAGTTCAAGTTTCCAGCTTTCTGTATCAATTTTGCACATCCCAGTTAAATAAATCCATCATAGTCTTCAGTGTTAAGAATAATGTGCAACAAGCTTGAAGCATTCCTAGTCCTACATGCTTCAACTTGGGAGAAACTGCTAATCCCTCAAACATAAAAATCAGCTACCTCACAACTAAACAATCAGCTCTGATAAAAAAGCAGTCCCACTCATTTGTAAAACAGCTCGCACACAGCTGATTTACAGCGTACATATAGCATATAGCACATGCTACAACATCTATTCAACACGCTATGAATATTTCAGTTCTACATTTCATACACTTTCTTTGTGGTCGTTCCTTTCCATACTCTCTTGTATTTTATTCTACCCGATTGACAAGTGGCATTCTCCCCCTGTTGCACCATTTCAATATCTAAAACTACACACACTATATATATTTTGGTTCTGCATTCTTTGTAGATATGAAATTGATAATCATCATTTAAGCAAGAAAAACTCTCAGGGTTGAAGTGTTAAAGGAACATACCAATATCCACGAAGGGCCTAAAACATTATGCAGCCGATGAGCTATGTTAAAAAGTGTCCTTAATGCCTGGATATAGCAACAACGGTTCGTGCAAAAGTTAGTAGAATTATGAAATAAAATAGTAATTTCCTAAATAATGATTTTTAAACTGAGTTTCCATAACGTATAATGAGCAAGAAAAGGGTCTGACCATACCTGGACATTCTTAGGTGTAAGAACAATACTTTCCCTGAGTTCCAGAAATGCTTCTGACCGTTTTGAACCAGGTGATTGTGCAATACTAAGAAATGAGGTAAGTTAAAAAAAGTCCTTGAGATTACAAGCGTTGCATGCAGCAATCAGCTTACCAATTCAGCATATTACAACAAAGGTATGGTCAACAACAACAAACCCAGTGTATTCCCACAAGTGGGGTCTAGGGAGGGTAACATGTACCTATATTGCATAAAAAATTTGGCATATCACATTGGGATTTAAAACACCCACAGGAATAGAGTGCACCAAAAAGACTTCTGTCTAGAGTTAAACATTGGTTGTACATGTCACAACATAAAAACCTCACCATTCTATTGGAGATCCACCAAGTTCGTAAAGTGTATAGAAATAGCAATTCGCAAAAGCAAGTAGCCAAATAAAAATAGTTGGATCAGAAAATCATCCAATTGCAAACTATTCAAAAAAAACATTTTTTTAAAAAAAAAAACTTGTTATAGATAAGGCTTACCAATGACAACAACAACATTACCCCAGTGCCTCAAAGGCTACCGCCCATTGCAGTGTAAAGTGGGGTTGGATGACGCAGCCTAGCCCCTATGTTTAAAACATAGAGTAGTTGTTCCCAGATGACCCATGTGAGCGTCAAAAGTTGCATTGACTAACTACCACTTCACTAAAAGAAGTGCAGACAATTTAAAGAACCATTTTGCTTTATTCCATCATACTCCAAAACCTAAAAATAGTGAAACTTTGGCCCCATCAGGATGACCACAAAAAATAAAGATTTGATTGCAATGGAAAAGTTATTAAAAATCAAAAGGTACTTTTCCTATGGCTATATTACCTCATTGTTTGTCTCGCTGTTTTTATCTTATACCATATTTAGTCATGTTCTATGTGGCTCACATTTTTACTTTTTCTTACTTTTTGAACATCAATATCAACCACACAATTCTACTTTTCTTGATTTGTGTGTAAGTATTCCATGTCCCAAAATTAGCGGGACAAAAGTAGTACTCCCTCCGTCCCTGAGTATTTGTCCACTTTTGACTTTTTTTAGCCAAAATTGGTAAACTTTGACTTTAAATTAAATAAAAATGATATTAGATATTGATACAAAAATAATTTTATTAGATATATTATATCAAATATTTTCAAAATATTATTTTATCTAATTAATATACAATATATATTTTATTTAATTATAGGTCAAAGGTTGAAAACAGTTGACCGAAAAAAGTCAAAACTGGACAAATACTCAGGGACGGAGGTAGTAATATATTTTGTGTTCTTTGTTATATACATAGGGTTTCATGAATTACTTATTATTAATAGTTTACTATCATTTTTTAGTAGTTTCCTATTTCTAATTTCTATTATTGGTTTCGTATTATTAATATTGAGAAAAGCAATAGCTTCTTATTCCTATTGTTATTTTATATTCTTGGATTTTGAATAAGGACTTGCGTTTCCTAGAAACATTCTTGGATTCTGGGATTTTGTGTTCTTTGTTATATACATAGGGTTTCATGAATTACCAATTATTAATAGTTTACTTTTATTTTTTTGGTAGTTTCCTATTACTAATTTCTATTATTAGTTTCGTATTATTAATATTGAGAAAAGAAATAGTTTCCTATTCCTATTGTTATTTTATGTTTTTGGATTTTGAATAAGGACTTATGTTTCCTAGTAACATTACGGTAAGACTCGTCTTATTAGGCTTTGCCTTTTTTTAGCCCAGGAGCAACCACCAAAATCAATTGGACAATGCCAGGGAACTCTTGTCAAGTTAATTAATGTAAAATAAGGCTTTGCCTATTTATATTCAGCAAATTATCATTGAAGCAATGAAGCAAATATTCCTAATTACGGGTAGTCAAGGACTATAGGATCTAAAGTTCTTCCTCTTTCAACCATCGGTAAGAGAGTGGCTCTTCATCTATTATAGGGATCTCTTCAAGACCTTGGATCAGGGCAACCAGATCCATTTCTGTCCTACCCCTTCATATTTCATCCACTAATGAGTAATGGCTAAACCAAAATACGTGTAAAAGAATGAACAAAATGTTGTTTATTGGGTTCCAAACTTTGTGCATCTCTATCTCTAAACTATGTTTTTCTGCTGATGAGTATGATATACCATGTATTCACCAAAAGATTGGTTTAGCATTTTGAAATTCTGGAAACGGATGGGATTGAACATCAAGCGCTAGAATGTTTGATTTTGTTCTAGATCCAATTGCTGCCAAACTAGAATTTCATGTGTAGCATTATTGTGAAGGATGTCGCGACATTGATAACATTAAGAGCCTACCACAACCGCAAGTGACATCCATCCATGCTTCAAACTTTTTCACAACTATTAGATCTGTTGTCAAATTTAGAGCGAAAAACTCCATTATCATCACAACATGAACACCACCTCTAACATCATTGTAGCTGTTGTGAGTTACCCTATTGTCTATGTCATCAAATCTGTAATGATTACTACTTGCGACCGCTTTGAATGATCTACCTCTGATTCATTGTACCAATGGATTCTTTTGAAAGTCACTAGAAGATCTATCATGACGGAAACCAATGGATGGTGCCATATTCAGACACTTGTGATGTCCAACAAAGTTTGCAGTTAAATGTGGATAAAAAGACCGCCGTGGCAATGTTAAATGCTAGACTGACATAAAGCCTTCTCTTTCGAGCTTAAACTCTTAATTTGAAGTTTTTTCGAGTTCCTTCCACTTCCAGTTTTTTTCAGTTTCTTCTAGTTTTATCTAGTTCCATCTAGTTTCTTCCAACTCCGTCCCGTTTCTTCCAACTCCTTCCAAATTTTCCTAACTATTCCCATTTTCTTCAAACTCTTTCTAGTTTCTCCAAACAATGACACTAAAATGATGTATTTTTCATGTGATTATTAGTATTATTATGTTCATAACTATAGTTTATTATTATTTTAATTTTTCTGTTTTTATTTTTTCTTATGTCACTATTTCTTTGATTTACACTCTTTCTTTTCTTCCTCTTTTTAAAATAAATAATAAAATTTCTTTTGTTTATAAATTTAGATGACACAAACCTATATTCCGAAAATTATTGATTAAAGAGCTTTTTTTTATGGATCTAAATAGACCTAGGGAAATCAACTTTATTTTAAATAAAAAATACGACTCCCTCCATTCAAGTTGAAGCTTCTCATTTTGACTTGGCACGGTTTTTAATGTAAGATGAAAAAGTAATGTGTTTTCCATATTTGCCCTTTTCAATCACTCTTCATCTTTTGCAACCTACTCTCCCCTTTTCTTCAAAAATCAAAAGTAGATTCTAGATTTTCTGCTTCATCCTCAACTCGTCCCTGCACACCCATTCCCCAGCCTTCATTATCTTCAAATCCGAAGTTCTAGATCTTCTTCTTCAACTTCAGATCAATCCACCCGCAACTCAGACGTGACCGGCGTGCAGCATAGAAAAATCAAAATCAAAATCCCATTACCCTCAGAAATCAAATCCACGATTAGGCCAACAAATTGAAAAAAAAAATTGTAAAGAGATGAAGAGAAAATGATGGTCAAGAAATTGAAAATAAAATCGAGGTTCTTTGTTGCCGTTTTATCGCCGCCCTTTTGTTGTGCCTTTTAGTCGCTGCTCCTTCGTCGCTGCAAGGATGGGTCAGACGAAGAAGATGAAATGAGTGGAGAAGAAATCAGTTGGGTAGGTGGGTTGACGAAGAAGAAAAAAGAAAGAAGAAAGAGAGAGGAAGAAGTTCTTTGTGTGAGATTGGAGGAAGAAGAATGAAGAAAAAGAGATGAGAAAAGAGAGATTGGGATTGATCTGGAGGAATAGAAGAAAAGAAGAGAACGGAGAGGAAGAAGAAGAAGAAAATAAAGAAAAGGTGGGGTTATGAGAAAGGGATGGGGATAGAGATAAGAGAGTAAAAAAGGGTAAAAGAGTAACTTTATGTGTTTTTTATTTCTATTTTAGGAAACGGGAAGAATCAAATGGGACGGCACGAAAAGGAAAGCGAGAAGAAAGATATGGGACAGGAGGAGTAACTATTCTACTACATTATGAAAAAGAAAAAAATGACTCAAAATATTGAAAAAAAACATAGTTGGATAACAAAGAATATAACTAATAATGAAATAGAACTAATAAAAAATTAATACTTTAGTTTATTAGATCTAGTTCTTATTATCTGTAATATGTAAAATGTTGTGCAAATGTTTTTGTATAAGTTATGACATTACTTTGATTCTTTTACTATCTTAGGCTCTGTTTGGTACTAGAATTGGAATTGGAATTGGATGAAATTGAATTCTAATTCAATTCCAAATCCTTTATTTGGTAATAATTAAAGAATTGATGTAGAATTGTATTATAATTCGAATCTTTTGTTTGGTAACACAAAATCGTAAATAAAACTGATATGGAATTCTATTATGATTCCAAATTCACATCCACATTCTTGTGCTACCAAATCTACATATTTTTAGAATTAATGAGAAAAATTTGGAATTAGGATTCAATTCCAAATCCACATGTTTTTGTGCAACCAAACAGCAGAATTGGAAATAATTTGGAATTGAAGTCTCCAATTCCAATTCTATGGCCTGAACACGGAGCCTTCTAAGAACCCTTATTGTTTCTATGAGCTTGTTCTTTAGGATTGGAAAAAAAGAGTTGGATGTTGCAAGAAATAATTAGTTATACACAAAATTTTCCTTAGAAGGAAAGTGGAACCTTATTCTTGATCTGACAATAAGGGTCTGTTTGGTTGGGAGAAAGATTTTCCAAGAAAATTATTTTCCAAGGGAGAATGGTTTCCAAGGAAAGTTATTTTCCCATCAAAATTTTCCATTGTTTGATAGGAAGAAAGTTGTTTGCCCAAGTAAATCATTTTCTACTGTTAATATTTGAAATTTGATACTTATAAAGATGTTTTAAGATAATATAAAAACATATTAGGAGTATAGGGGGCAAGTGGCGCGGGGTGGCAGNAAGATATTTGAATGGTTTAAACATAACATATCAGTGGCGCTTTAAATCATATTTACCTCACCAACATCTACTGCCTCATCAGTCAAAGTGGCCACAGCAAAAACAATTCCAAGCAGGCCTTCAATTGCCAATGTCACTGCATGGGCCTCACTAGCAACCAAGACAGCAGTATTGGATGCATCACTATCCAAGCTCCACTCAACTCCTGGAAATAGAAAAAAGTGAAGGAGTTTGTTTGCACAACCAAACTGCTTTATCTACTTTGATTATTAAGCAATAAAGAATTAAAAAGTTATTTCTTTCTTCCTTCTCTTATTTCTGATTGGCTCCCCCGTAGTTCCTACGTGTGTGCATGAGTTTCTTTTCTTGAAACCCTAGGTTGGAGTTCTTACTCCATATATCTCGTACCCGTAACAATGATTGACTATCATTGGTACCGCTGCCAGGAATGCTTTGGACAACACCATCCTTGGCAAGCTACCCTTCAAAGCATTTCAAAACTCCATCAGCAACCTCGAAGCTCGGAACAAATATTTGTCCACCACTGTTGCCTCCCAGGCTGCATATCAGGCAAACCTGAAACGGATGTTCAACTTTGCTCGTGGCATATCCCCAATCCCAATTGATGAATCTAAAAATTTGCAGCAACGCGAAGAGATTTAAATACTCACAACCCACCAGAAACGTCAAGAAAACATGAAGACTTTGTCCGTTTGTTGGACTTCCTCGCAGTTGAAGTAGCAACTGCTAGCTGTACCAACTTTATCCATGGTTGTTCAACTGCCAACACTGCAACCTCCCTCACTTGAAAATTTGCCAAAAACTAGCTACACCCTTGACTTTAGGGATCCATTTTTGTATACCAAAGTCACCCCAATTGATCGTTGTCTTTCATGGTCCTTTCCTAGTGATACTTCTCAGCTTCAAGTTAGCCCAGAACTTCTACAAGTTTTCGATCTCCATCAAGAATACAAGGATCACACTCACTTTTTATTGGTGAAATGATCCAGCGTCATGTTCAAGATTACAAGCTTGAGACAAGCTTGATCTCCAAAAGGGGTGTAATGAAACGATCAAAATTATCTTAGAATTATTATTAATAGTTATTATCATGATAAATATTAAGTATTAGATATAAGTATTAGTAAGATTATTATCATTATTATTATTAGATTACTATTAATCTATTATTAGTAGTAGTAATTTCTGATTAAGTTTTAGTTGTAGTCTCCTACTAGTATTCAGTTTCCTAATTTGTTCACAACTAATTATTGGTTAGTACTTATTTAGCAACTAGTTATTTGGTGAGATTCTATTGTTAAAGTTTCCTCTTGTGTTTTAGAATGTACGCCTCTATAGTCTATATAAGAAGGCAATTACTCTGTATTATCTGTTATGATAAATAAAAAATTAAATAGTGTATTTCTTTCTCACAGACACTTGATCTCACACTCTCTCAGTCACTCACACACACACAAACACACACCCACACTCACACATACTCCCACACACTCACTCACTGCGACAGGCATGTGTCATGTGTGTGCCTGCAAAAAATAAATGTGCCCACCTTTTATTGCATTTAATGACCACAATAAATGTTTCCTTACATTTTACGGTTTGTTGATTATGCCCAATCCAAAGTAAATTCTTGATATTGACAGCATTGGCTTTAAGTATTTTGATTTTGACAACAGTGGCTTTAAGTATCTTGATAAACACGTGATGCATATAATCAATGTTGGTTGATTAAAAGTTAAATTGTGGTTAAATAACATGAATAATGTGTAACCGTAACATGCCTCTCTAAGACATTAGACTACAAGTTATGGTCAAACAGGTTGAGTGTTAAAGCTAATACATAACTCATGCTTGAAGTGGAGTATGTCCACTCGTTAACATCAAATTAAGATTCTATTACCTTTAGATTTACTGGTAAACATTCCAGCAACAGCTTCAAGGCTCTCCTCGCATGTGTCTTGAAACTGCAATACTGATGCGTAGTTAAACAGTATTTATGTAAATTGCCATGACCCACAGACCACAAGAAGACATACTCAAACAGTACATCAAACAATGAAGTTTGCATAGCACATACGAAAAAGCGTATTCTTGTAAATTTCGAAAATGATGACATATGGACCTTTCATTTATGGACCCCAACACTACATATGGGCCTTTCATTTATTCTTATGAGTTCATGTTTTTTATGTCTAATACAAATGAAACAATGACTGTTTCATAAATACAACCTAATTTGGTTATCTATCCAGCAATATTCCCTGCAATTGAAAGAATATATTTTCTTCTATTAACGAAAAAACATACCACCAATCTCAAGGTGGTATCAACAAATAAGGATTCTTATTTCATCACTGCCAAAGCATGGGTGCATCTCAGCACATTCAATCATTTATCCTTCCACCTTGCATGTGGAAGCATAGAGTGATGTAGCCTTAAAGGTTAAAGGCATTTCACTTAAGTATCACTTTTACAAATGATGCAATAATATTAGCATACGTAAATAACAAAATACACACACAGCTTACAAGTTACAACAAAGGGGGAAAAAGGAAAAATAGAATGTGATGAAACTATTTTAATACTTGATATGACACAAACAAGCTTACGATAGATAAAACATCAAATGTGAATCTTGTTATCATATACCTGAATGCTTGAAACAACCCTAGCAAGTGATTCTACCATACTAGCAACCACATTTGTGTTTTTGGGATTCCTAGAAAAACAACAAGAGGTAATTAAAAACACATACTAGAAATTCCCCGCAAATTTAAAGGTTTCAAATTTGTGCCAAGAAACACCCAGGCACATAAACATACATGTCAAAATTCTGAAAAAGTATTCGCAAAGTGTGTGCCTCAACACAAAAACCCTGCATGTTTCAAAGATTCAAATTACTAGATATTGGTTTGTACATGTGGAAGTCATTTTCATATCTGACAGTGAGCAAATTTTGGAATTACCCTCAGAATTTCAAGAACAAGAATGCGATGCCATAGTGGTAAGTCAAGAGAGATAGCCCTCACTAACATGCTGAGAAATACCTGCATCAAAGACATTTCATGCCAGCTAACGAGTGCATAGATGCACGCAAGGTTGTTAAGATCGAGATTCTAGCTAGATAGAAGAGGGGATGGAGGATTGTAAATTGAGAATCATAACTCGAATTGCACAATTCTAGAGTAATACTCCCTCCGTCCAAGTTGAAATTTCTCGTTTTGACTTGGCACGGGTTTTAATGTAAAGTAAAAAAGCTGATGAGTTTCCACTTTTGCCCTTTCCCTAAGGGCTCACGCCTTCATTGTCTAACACTCCAACCTGTCTAGTTTATCACGTCAAATCAATTCTATCTTCTCTTCAAAGTACAAATTAAAACCAAGAATCAATCAAAAAAACAAAGCTAAGAAATTAAATTGAGAGAGATCTGACAAAAGAAAAACAAACTAAAACTCCCAATTCCATTCTGATATATATGAATAGTCTCACCCCAAGCTTAGGTCCATGTAACAATAACAACAACAACAACCCAGTTAAATCCCACAAGAGTAGGGTCTGGGGAGGGTGTGTGTACGCAGACCTTGCCCCTACTCGAAAGTAGAGAGGCTGTTTCCAAAGAGACCCCCGGCTCAACATCGAAAGTTGCAGTGTTTGACTAACTGCTACTTCATTAATTAAAGAAGCGCAGATAGTTTAGATATCCATTTTGATTTATTCCATCACACCCCCAAAGCCAAAAATGGTGAAATTTTGACTCCATCGGAGATGATGGAAACTTAGGTCCATGTAAAAAAACCTAAATTGGTCCCACCATTGAAGAAGAAGAGGAAGAAACGGGGGAGAAATGTTTTCTGTCGCCGTCTTGTAGCCAGCTCTTTTTTAACTTTGTTCCTTCGCCGCCGATCGGTATGAGAGATCTGAAACCACGGGTCTGACGATGATTAGAGAGGGGGGTCAGGGGATCTTCCAAAAAAGAGGAAAAAAAAGGAAAAAAAAGAGGAGTGGAGGGTCACTACGAAGAAGAAGAAGAAGAAGAAAAAGACGTAGATTGGAGGAGAAAGAAAAGATGTTGCAAAGAAGATAAGAGAGGGGCTGAAGAAAGGGAGGAGAGGAGTCTAACGGGTTGGGGTGGAGGGCTGGCTTCAAACAATAAGAAAAAATAAAGTAAGGGTAAATTAGTCTTTTGGTGAAAATTTACTTGCCAAATAAAGAAATGGGAATAATCAAGTGGGACGTCCCAAAAAGGAATATGAGAAGAAAGATATGGGATGGAGGGAGTAGGTAATATGTACTCCCTTTGTCCCAAAAGAGACTTGCCCAATTTGACTAGGCATATTTTTTAATTAAAAAAAAATTGGTGTGATTGAAAATAATGCAAAGAGAAGAGACACATACTGTGAGTCACATAATTGTTTTTAACATAGAAATATAATCATCGTTTTTGGAGTATAATGTAAACACACAATGGAAAATGTTAATCACTGTATCCTAGTGCCCAGTACAGTACTTTCCATTACATCATAATTAAATTATGGGCAAATAAAAGAACTAAATTTACCGATCAAAAAGAAAAAAATATTTTTGTGAAACAGATTAAGGCAGTACGCTTCCCAATCCCACCCACAAAGAGATAACCTTTTCATTTTTCAATGGGTTGTAACTGGCAATTACTCATAAAATTCAGCAGATGATAAGCAGCAACCCCTTCCAATAACCTACCCACTTCACATATTCGAAGAACAAATCGAGCATGAATCAAACGATTATACGACCCAACTCAATGATCTTATGATATTCAAATCGTTCCAGGTACCCTGATGCGTAAAATCATCTGATCTTACAATCTAGATTGCACTTTTAACAACCTTGGATACAAGAAGCTCTCAGAAGCAACTTAATGATTCTCAATAGTTCAACCACATAAAATTAACTGAATATAAGAAACCAAGTACATAAGGAATTAGAAGTAGCGGTGAAAGTTCCTTTCCATGATCCACGCTGTAACCCAATTACGATAAATATTAGCTGCTGGGGTATGATTGCATGTTTTCCAATAAGTAGGATCCTTTGCCTATAAGAAATTCATGTCAATTTTTTCTCCAAGTAGGTTAATTGTGAACACAATTTGCCATCTATTCAGCATCTCCCATTCAGGATGGTTTCTTATTTATCCCTTTTCTATCTTGTCTACACCCTTCTAACCTATTTCTACTAAAGGTGTGGTGTTGTCCATATTAGTATAATATATTTGGTACGCTATCAGCATTATTCTATACTGTTTTAGTAAACCAATGGATAACCAAATCATTTTGATAAACAAAGAACGAAAGCTAACAACTTATGTTTTTACTTTTTAATGAATAAGATCATACCTCAGATTCAGTTATTAGCAATGAACTATAAAGTCTGATTACATGGGCAACTGATCGCAAGACCAACCTACGGAAATATGGTTCTCCAGTTTCTCCTTCAAACTGTGTGATGAAGGAAAATAATGAGGAAAGGAAACTAAGAATAAACAAAATTTCATTATGTAGGAATTTGATTTTATGATATCACACTTCAACGAGACTAACAGAAGCTTCACCTCAGAATCAGTACGAAGTGATGTCATTAGAATCGAACATATCTGGTGTCGGAGAACCTATAAGTTTCATTAGGGTGTTTAGGAATCAAAAACAGTAAAAATGCTAATAAAGGTAATATATTAATAAATTGTAGTAAAATCAGCACCTCCTCGTATGGAATCAAGGTTCGGAATAACACCACATAATTGGACAGGATAAACCTAAATAGCCATCAAGAAGGATTTAGAATACAAATAAATTGATTGCAAACATGAATTCCAGATACTAATAAGTTTGATCAAATGTGTTTCCTTGAATTTTTCATCAAAGAAGGTTCTTGATGCTACAGAATATAAACCTCAAAGCCCCTAAACACTTTCAAACAATACCAAAAAATTACTCGTTTTTTTTTGCAGCTTTTCATATGGACACTTAAGAAACACCAAGGAAATGTTATAAGTTATAAAAATTCAATCCAGCTTTAGAAGGTAGTAGTCTTCTTACTCAAGTATGTCAAGCACAAACGTTCTTTGAAGGGAGCTGACTCCTAACCAATTAGCCTGAACAATAAGCCAATCCATTATCCAGGGAACCTTTCATAATGACTTAATTATAAAATTGATAACCATACAAGTTTAATGATCTCAAACTGGCAATAATGTAGAACAAAATCAAAACTTGACCAATGAAAAAAGATAAATTTGTGTGGACACATACAGAACCACTTGCTGCAAGAGATGCCAAATCCTCAAGCAAAATAAGGCCAAGCTTTCCGGATTTAGTTAATGTATTCCTCATTAATAATGAAGTTCCAGAAGTAAACTCTTGCTCCAATGACCTATTCAAGAGATGATCAGTTCTGATCTCTGCAGCATAATGCATTCATCATGTGCTGACTTCTAAGCACATAAATGCACTCCAATTGCCAGTTCAAAATTTTGAAATGATGATAATATTAGGATATATTCACACCAATACCCCCATATTTGGCTGATTATACAATATTACTCCCAGATTCTCTTTGGCATGCCAATGCTCCAAACAATCACCCGATTTTACATTGTTACTTCAACCCGGTTGAGTTAATTTCGGGCTTAATCACGTGCAATATTTTGGTTGACATGGCATCTAAAATAGTGACTTAATTTACAAATAGGGGCCGGTCTATTTCACAACCTATATGAAGGTGAGGATGAGAGAGGGGTATTGAGAAACATAAAATGAGGACAAAATGAGAAAACTTAAGGAAGACGGTGAAAACACGTTGAGGGAAAAGATAAAGTGCGTCGAAGCTCTTAGATTGAGTTGCATTCACACTGGGGAAGAACATGGACAATTTCATAGGGTTCCTTTATTAAGTTACTCAAAAAAGTCCAAATGATGTCCAATTTAATTCCATTACTTTAGATGTGTTCCCAAGTCATTATTTCAGATGTCATGTTAGCCAAAATGACTCCACGTAATTAAGCCCGAAGCTGACTCTGCCGGGCTGGAGTAATGATGTTAAATTCGATGATTTCTCAAAGTATTGGCATGCAAAAGAGAATATGGGAGCATTGTTGTATAATCAGCCACGGGAGTATTGGTGTAAATTTTTCGATGATATGATACATGAGTTTCTAATGAATCATCCGTGCAGGTTGAGAAACAAGAAGTAAAAGACTGAATATGTAACAAAAATATTATGTGGATGGAGGATAAATACAGAACATATATCTTGTTCCACAACGAGCATTTAAAATGATCTATATTTCACAGTTTCTCAATTTCAACAACAACCCAGTTGAATCCCACAAGAGTAGTGTTTGGGAGGGTATGTGTACGCAGACCTTACCCCTACTCGAAAGTAGAGAGGCTAATTCCAAAACGAGACCCCCGGCTCAGCGTCGAAAGTTGCATTGATTGACCAATTGCTACTTCATTAATTAAAGAAGCGCAGACAGTTTAGAGATCCATTTTGCTTTATTCCATCACACCCTAAAGCAAAAAAATAGTGAACCTTTGGCTCCCAAATGCGTCAAAAAATTTTCAATTTCCTTATTGATTAATTATTTACTTCTTTGGTATCTCTAGCTGATCTATCTTTAGAGCGACTTCAGTAGCGCAAAAATTACTAAATAGACACATGGATATAAAACTAAACAAAATTTCAAGCTTTGGTTCTCCAAATGTGTATGCCTTACGTACTTTAGGTGTGTTATATTGCGGGTAATGTCACTTGTAACCGAATTACTTCGAGACATATGGACTCCAGAAGCAAATTTAAATTTCTCAGAAGGAAGGGACTCAGCAGTAACCACCCTGTCAAATATTAGGGCAACTGCCTGTCTAAAGGTTGCTGCAGCTGTGCTGAAATTATTACAAAAAAAGTGGGCAACAAGAATGAAAATAAGAGTTAAAAGAAATGACAGAGTAAAAACTACTAAAACAAGTAGTGTGCGTCTACTGTGTTCTAGTGTAATACTTCAACTCACTTCCGTACACTATAAGATCTATTGCTTTCAAGAAGCCGGAGACAAATGCCAAGAGCTTGAGCAGTATTCTCCTGAATGAAACATAGAGAGCACTTACACAATAGAACTTCAATGTCGAAAGATCAGTTAGTCTTTTTTACCTACCCAAAGCCAAAAGGTTTACCGTCTGCCTCATCCATTTCATTTTATAAATGCCAGTAATGTGTGTGTAGACACACTCACATTCCCATATAGTTGAGATCTAAACGTGTAGCAACTAGCTATAAAGAAATATCATAAACTTCATATTGTTCCAGGTATAATATGCAAACAGGATATTGTTCCAGGTATAATATGCAAACAGGAGTATCTATAAAGCTGTGAGCCATCAAATTCTAAGCAAAAGTTCTAATTTAGACAGAAACTTTTAGACAGGAACTTTTTGCCCACCCAATTTATTCATCATTAGCATGTGTAATACTCCCTCCGTCCCAAAAAAAAAACCTCCCAATTGGGTTTGGCACAAAGTTTAAGAAAAGTAAAATTGTGTGGTTGAAAGTGATGCAGAAAGAGAGAAAGATGTTGGGCCACACAAAATTTGCCAAAAATGGAAAGAGGAGTCGTTTTTGGGACATCCCGAAAAGGAAATGAGGAGTCATTTTTTATGATAGAGGGAGTATATGTTATAGAAATACAATACTAAATTATTAACTCAAGTGTTTACTGTACTTTTTAAAATGATTTGCATTTACTTTTGGGATTGGGCTTGTGTAGATGGGTTGTATCTAATATCCCAATATTATTTAATTCAGTTTTTCTATATTTTCCATATTATAAGGCTCCGTTTGGAAACCAAGAAAATAACTGACTTCTGGAAGTCCTTTTCCGAGTTATCTGCTGTTTGGTAACCTCTGGAAGATAGTCAATGGAATATGGGGCTCTGTTCAATGGAAAATCCCGTCTAAAATATAAAAATTGACTTCCCCTTTAGAGTTCCGGAAGTCATTTTCCTTTTCGTTACTGGCTTCTTCCTCACCATCTTTCTTCCTCTCTTCTCCATTGTTCTCCGATAGATCATTCTCATCCCACTATCCGTCTGCTCTTCACTACTCTGCTCCATTGGCCACCAGTCTACTATTCACTCTGGTAGTCTCCCTTAGCCTTGAACATCTTGTATCTTCACCGGAATAGGTAGCTATCCTCTTTCTCTTCTCATTAATTGGTAAATTTTTCCAATAATTTTTAACACAATTTTTCTGCTACTGATTCATTTCTGTTGATTTTTCAAAAAAAAAAATCGGCTAGGGTTTTTGTTTGATTTTTGCTTGAATCTTGCTGCGTTTAAGCTTGAATATCTCCTTACTCTGTAAAAACTTTCACTTAATTTTTATGCTAAAAAATATGTTTTGTAAGTGTAAATTTTGTTGTTTGATGACAAAATGTAGGGTAGAGTCCGATAATCACATCAGACAGTGATGATATTTTATTTCCTTTGAGTTGATTGATGAACCTCCTTAATTAAATTGTCATTCACTCTTTAGCCTATCTCTTTTTTATTTCAGATATTCATTTTTTGGAAATGAACCAAATAGGAACAGGTAGTTTCCAAACTTTCAACTAAACATCGGAAAAGGAAAATGACTTCAGGAAAATGACTGGTTTCAATAGTTTTCAATAAGTCATTTTCCTGAAGTCATTTTCCAGATGATACTTTCCTGGTTTCCAAACGGACCGTAAATTGTATGCTTAAGCTCTCCTAGTAATACTCCTTTGAGATAAAATCAAGAGTCGGTATTATGTGATCAGTTGATGCATCACGCATTTGAACATTGAACTACAGTAATATCTTTTTATTTAGAAACTGGAAATTGTTGACCTTGTTCAATGTAAACTAGAGTTTCAACTTTCCTCAAATTTCATTCATAAAGTCATTATACCCCTCAATTAACTTTACTATACTCTTAAAATCAAATTAAAGTTGGCATGGATGCGTGCAAGTTAGAATTGTCTGGCGATGATTGCTGAACTCCACATTTACTGTAAAGGGGGGTGGTATTATTCTATGAATTCAGATATTTTAAACAAAGGTTTTACAGTAGATATTTTAAACAAAGGTTTTACAGTAGTATTATGTTTTACAAGTTCCAAATTTAAAGAGCAGTTTGATTTAAGTACTATATTGGGATATTAGATACAACCCAGCTACACAAGCCCAATCCCAAAAGTAATTGCAACCCATTTACAAAAGTACAGTAAACACTTGAGATAATAACTTAATATTGTAGTTCTATAACATATATTACACATGCTAATGATGAACAAATTAGGTGGGCATAAACTAAATGGGTATGACTAAATCCATCCCTTAAATGGTTAAATCCACTATTTCCACTCAAATTTTCTAAATCTACTCTTTCCACCCAAATTTGCTGAATCCACAATCTAGATGTAAAATATTAAATTTATAAGAGTGGGAGTCAATTACCAAATTTGGATGAAGAGTGTGAATAAAGCCATTTTGGGAGTGGATTTAGTCTCAACCAAATTATATTTCATAGCAACGATTTATATTGATTACAAAAAAATGCTATGAATAACAATTACCTCATTATCAGGTTGTAAACAAGATTGGAACATTACAAGGATAGTTTGTAGTGTCTTGAGTTGAAGACTCTCATCAGCCATTTCACCATGCTGCTAAAACAAAATAGTTAATAAAAATGAAGACAGTGTAACTGTGTAAGATTCAATATGGATAGAAGTACTAGTAAGAGCACTAAAATGATGCATAAAACAGAACATAAAATTTGTTGGACTCTAAAGGAAAGAACTGTATAAGCATTGATACACTCATAAAACTGCATATGCATTGATTATTCTCTCACAAAAGTGTCTTGTGTTTGCACTATACATCCATGTTCTAAAAAAACTTTAAATCACTTCATATCAGAATTTCTTCTTTTTAGGTTATAATGGATAGGAACGGGAGAGAAAATCTAATTTTCTCCTGTGCCATTCCAATCAGAAGTTGGAGATAGCTTGTTTAGAAGTTATAGAAAATAGCACATTCTAATAAAAGTGCTTTTGCCAAAGCACATTTTTAATATATCTCTCAAACTATGAATGGTTCGTGGATAGATGAATACAAAGAGTAGTGCTATTATTTTTTTGTCAAAAAAAAATTACTCATAATTTCTTAATTCTCACCTCAATATGATTCAAGCTTTTTAGAAACACTCACCTCTCAATCCCCTTAAAACAAATGCCTTGACTTTGATTATACATAAACGTGAAATTTGAAAATTCGATATTAACTCAACACTTGAACTTGAGATGTATAAGCTAAAAAACTTGAACTTGCCTTGAACTCAATCAAATTGTATACTTGAAACAACATGAAGCTAAAACTTTAAATTATTCTGATTGAAATTGGACTTATGCTTGGTTTTAAGTGTGACAAGAATTTAAAATGATTTTGAAGCACTACTTTAACTCCAAACATGACTGCATCAACATTGAAATTGAGCCTTCATTTGAACTTGAAACTCTAAACTTCCAGACTTCAAAAAAGAATTAACTTTGACTTAAACTACAATTTGTCTTTAACTTTGAGTTAAAACTTGAGACCTTTCATGGTTATGGTATATAACTAGATAAGTCATAAGTTTGTGCTACAAATGCATGTGTTTCTTAAAACTTGAGACCTTCAGCCATGGTTATGGTATATAGCTAGATAAGTCATAAGTTTATTGTGCATGCATCATAAGAAGAGGTTGTGATTTTTATGGAGTATAAAGTGTGCTATTGCTCACCTCTTGATTTTCATTGTTGTAAGATTTGTCACCATTCCTCGATTAATCTCCTACTTCTTCGACCCCTTTAATTTTAATTTTACTCAACTTCAACCTAGCTAATTCCTTACTAGACGATATGCTCCAACACCCGTCTTTTGTGCACAAAGTGTCTTTTACAACATTACTGATTTCCAAGGGAAAATGTAATGGCTATGATACAATGTTGAAATTGAGAATTGGCTATACTACCCCAATTTTCAAATAAATTATACTGAAAATAACTTGGTCAAACATCGTAAAATGAAATAGGCAATTTTTTTGTAACTCATGTCCATAACTACTTTTTTCTCACACATTTTAACATCAAAAACAATAATACAATTTTTTTTATTTCTTAATTTGGATGCCACTTACCCATGCTCTAAAAATAGTGAGTAAAGAGAGCAGTACTTTTTTATTAACCTTAATTGAAAGGAAAATTGACATAAATAATCCAATGTTATCTCAATTTATAAAAATGATATCATATCGCAATTTATATACTAATGTAATAACTACAAGTTGTGTTGTGACTCAAAAAAATGGCCCCGGAAAAAATTGTTATTTTTATTTCAAAAATAATAATTAAACCACTAGATTATGGAAAAGAAAAAATCACTCAAATAAATGTGTAAAAAAGTCAAATCTTGATAAGAATATTTAGAGTAAGTTCCATAAAAGGTCTATCATAACAGGGGGTTTTCCATATTTAGTCCCATATTCTAAGATATTACATTTGTGGTCTTCAATTTTTTAAAACTATTTCATAATCAATCCCTTGAGAACTATATATGGAAAAAATATTTGATCAAATGTGGCCTAAAGACTAATTATTGTTATTAATATTATTATTATTATAAGTCCTTAGGGACTTAATAATAATAATAATAATAATAATAATAATATGAAAAATACGCTTAAATAATTTTTTAAGTTATTATTGGATGGAACTGCAAGGAGTTGGAAGAATTGAAAAAAGTTGGAAGAAAATGGAAGGAGTTAGAAAAAATTAGTTGAAGTTTAAAACTATTGGAACTTGGAAGTTAACTTTCTCAACTTAAAAGAACATGCCCTAAATATAAAGAATACTAAAATAAAGCTAGGAATTGTTATGTATAATCTCAATTGTGCAATGATTTTCATACATTGAATTAGACGTGGTCAGAGTTCTCAATTAGATACTCACGTTCTACATTTCACAACTGTATATACAAAATGTTAGAAACATCATGGTGTATGAATAAGAGATCTGACACTAAACTAGCTAGGAAAGATCACTTGTGTAACAACTTTAATGGGATCACACAAAGCATACTCCATATACCATACATCCAGATATATAGTGTTTCCCATACATCGGGTGAATACTCATCTCGAGTAACAAAATACGGTGTTTCCCGTACTTCCGACAAATACTTATTTTCGAGTAACAAAATCATTTTTCATATTTATTTATTTTAGTATTTATCCAAAATAAGAAAAAAAAATTCAAATCTTGATAAGAATATTTGGAGTAAGTTCCATAAAAGGTCTATCATAACAGTTGGTTTTTCATATTTAGTCCCATATTAAGTTATTCACAACTGCATATGCAAATTGTTAAAAACATCATCATCTGAAATAATGTTCATTCTGATTATAAAGAACGTATATTTACGCTTAACACAATTCTCATTTCAACTAAAATAAAGATGGATGTACAACTAAAATAAAGAAATACGTGAAATGATTATTTTATTAATCGTAAAGAAGCATTCGCCGAGAATTGTACAATAAATACTGCACAACCAGTTATACAGTATGTGTGTGTGCGCATATATATATATATATATACACACACATACATACATACATATATATATATACACATACATACATACATACATACATATATATATATATATATATTGCCCACAAAGCATGGAAAAAGGACAATTTGACTTATAACTAAATAGTTAGTTATATTGCTGCAGTAGTGCACGATAAATTTATGTGATTCATGCGTTAACAGAAATTCATCTAATATACAAAGGAAAACCAGACTATAATAAAGGCATTCTTACGTCTTTGAGGGTGCACAGAATCTCCTCTAAAGCTGATGGTGCAACTGCATCATGGGATATGAGCTTTTGCAGGCAAGATAGTCCAATCACACTCAACTTAACCGTCCTAACCTTACAGGCCATGAGAAAGATGTTGAGTATATCTTCATTTTGAGCAATTTCACTAGGACTTGACAATGATCTCAGCTGAAAATTCATTACCTTAATGCTTAAAAATCACATCTTGCAAAAATTATACTTCTTCAGATTTAATAGACAAGATGGAATTGCAACAAAATAATAATGAATGCTTAGTACATGAATTGCTTAATTATTTAAACAAAACAACTTCATTAATTATAATCTTGCATTTACTGAGCAAATTGTTTGAGGAAATGCTTAAGGATAAGCGTAGAGATAGGAGTAACAAGATATATAACCTTCAAAATAGCATGTTCTGCGGCGTCCTTAACGTTAGGGTTCCGGCGGCGAGCCTCCGCAGAGAGAGCTCTAAGATCTGACTCCAAGACCGCCATGAGTGTCATCCCACTCCGATCAAATAAAGCTAGATTCAGTATTTGCTCACACCTGCCTTTTCAATGGCAAAAGAAATTGAAAGTAAAACGTACTCCGTATATTTCAATTTTTGGCTGGTGGTATTGGTATGTTTCCCCATGTTTTGCTTTCATTTTTCTTTCTTAGAGCATTGACAATGGTAAGTCAAAAAATAGAATGTCACACGGTGACGTAGAGTATTTCAACCAATCAAAAAGAGTCCAGTCAGCGTGTGGCGAGTAAGTGGAGTGGGATGTCATGCAATGACAAGTAATTGTTTTTGTCATTTTTTACACTTTTGTGACATATTTTAATTATAAAAAAATTTTTTACTTATCTTTTTTCATAAAAATATATGCACTTCATTTTTTAAAAAAAAAACCTTTTTTTCTACAAATAAAAAAAAATAAGAAAACAAGAAGAGAATAATGGCTCGCCCAAGCCATGCCTTGCATGGAGAAATACACACGCCACGCATGGCAAAATAGGTAAATGGGTGATGTGGCATGGCGTGGCAGTCATTTGCCTTGCCACTGCCAATGCTCTTACCTAATTACCTACGTTGGTGCCTATTAGATAAAATGAATTAAATGATAAATAATCATTTGAGATTATTTATAATGGGTAAAGAAAAGTTTCATAAGTAATCTCGTTAAATTGAAACGGAGAAACGGAAAAATTAATTTAAAAATATGTAAGTAAGACATACTCCCTCTGTCCAGAAAAGAAGTTCTCATTCTACGATTTTTTCCGTCCGAAAATAAAGTTCTCATTCTACGTTTTCATACCCACTCTTCCTAAAATACCCCTCTCATTAATTCAAAAACTTACTTCTCTCGCCCACCCCATCTCTCGCCCACCCCTCCTAACCGCATTCATTATACTCTCCTTTCCTTATCTCGCACCTCTTCTCCTTCCCATATCTATTTTCTTTCTCCCTCTTCTCCTAGAACCCTAGATCTCTGCCCACATCAAATGGATCTGCATGACTATTGCTTGGATTCTATTATTTCAGAGACAAAATTTCAAGATGGTTGGGGTGAGGTCGAAGATTTGATCTCTGACGACAGCGAGGTGGAGGAGGTTATCGTAATCCAGAGCGATGACGAGGCCATCGTCATCGATAGCGAAGATGATGGTGCCCATCCTGCCCCGATCAGAGACATGAAGTGTTTTTTCAACATTCAATCTCAGGAAGATTGTTTTTTTGTTGATGGGAGGCAGGAGGGTGACGAGATGGAGGAGTTTGAGAGAACTGGGTTTGATTCATCTCAACCCATGTACTCACGCATGCACCTCCACATTGATATGCTAAACACCTTACTTCCAAGCCCAGATCCAGACTTTTGGGCTTCAAAATACAAATAGGGAAGTTCGTTTATCATTCCTATACTTCAATTCTTTCTACATTTCTCGTATAATTATGGATTTTGTGAATGTGGTTGGTTCAAATTGAGGGAATTTTCTGTGAAAAGTTGTGGGCTCTTTCTAGTACAATTATTGTCCCTGCTCTTCCCCATACTCTTCCCCTGGTTGGTAATGTAAAGGTGATATGATGTATGAAACCCATACTCTTCCATTGTTTTGGAAAGAGAAATATTACTCCGTATTGTTCATTTTGTTATTCTGCATGTGGCTTTCCATTACAATTGTCCTTAATGTACACTATGCTTTCTGTCCCTCTCATGTTTGCAAGAGTTTTTGTGACCACTTTCTGTGATGAATATCTGAGAACAATGGATATACTGTGATGAGAATGTATCCATTTAAGGATGTCTCTGAGTAGTGAGGGTATTACACCTCCTACGTGGTCTTACTCTACCTGTGATTGTCCTATCTGTACATTATGATTTTTGTCCCTCTCAAGTTGGAAGACTTTTTGTGACCACTTTCTGTGATGAATGTTTGAGAATAATAGACCTACTGTGATGAGAATCTATTCATTAATGGATGTATCTGAGTAGTGATGGTATTACACCTCTGATGTGGTCTTACTCTACCTCTGATTGTCCTATTTGTACACTATGATTTCTGTCCCTCTCAAGTTTGTAAGACTTTTTGTGACCACTTTCTATGATGAATGTCTGAGAATAATAGACCTACTGTGATGATAATCTATTCATTTATGGATGTCTCTGAGTAGTGAGGGTATTACACCTCCTATGTGGTCTTACTCTGCCTCTGGTTGTCCTATCTGTACACTATGATTTCTGTCCCTATATTGTTTGAAAGACCTTATGTGACCATTTGCTATGATGAATGTCTGAAAATAATGAACCTACTGTTATGAACATTTAGTTCCATTTATGGTTTGAGCATTTAATTGTCCAATGTGTTTGAGCATTACTCCATTACACCAGCAATGATGAAGTGACAATTTTAAAAAAGTGATAAGCATATGATGGCAGTTGTATTTCATTATACATATGTTACATATAGAGTAGGTAGTGTGTGGTTGCCTTGATGTGAGAACAAAAATCCAAAACCCAAAACCCAAAAATTTAATTGTGGCTACCATTTACAAACACATAAAGCCACAAAACATAATGTGGTAACCACTCTCCAAAAAACCCACTGTGGCAACCACTTACATACACTGAAACCCAAAAAGAAATCTGTGTTTAGTTCAAGTCTGAAGATATGTAGTCATCTCCCTCTTCAGTGTTGAACTCAACCATTTCTTCATTTGTAGCTCCATTCTATTGTCCAACCAATCTTGCTATCTTCTGAATAAGGTCTAGGTCTATGCTCAAGGACTTAGGAAGATTCCCTTCTCTGGCAAGTCTATCTTTCCCCATGTGTGGTAATTTGTAGTTGTTGCTTCCTTCATGTTCCATTACCTTAGTCAACACCTGCTGGTAAGTCAACCAAACCTTGTTCAAAGTTTCTAGAGTGAGGTCATTATATGCTCTAGCTGATCTTTCCACTGCCTCTAACAACTCTGGAAAACTGGTTGGAGCACATTGTTCTTTTAAAGACTGGATGGCTCTAAAAAACCCAAGGTCTAGGACATTTAAATTTGGGGAGTTGGGGGGTTGATTATTTAGAGTGATGTGAAATGCATTTGTGTTACCTGCTGCCATAAAGTCAGAGTCCAATCCTTGAATGTGTGGCCTTGCATTATCTTGCTGAATGTGTATGTCTTTAGATAACTGTGCTGGCCATTCTTCTTGGATACATGTAATGACTTTTTTGATCAGCATATCCTTTGTCACTTGTTCGATAACACTAGTGATTGGTTTCACCTCCAACACCCTTTTTGCCATGTTCTTACTATTCCTTTGAGCTTTAACTCTTTCTGTGAAATGGAAAATGTCAACTTTTCCATCCCACAAACATCTCCACTCTCACCAAAATAGTAGTCTCCCAACCACACACAAAAACATCACTTTAGTTATGAACCTTTTTTATTTACATGTTCTGTATGTGTCAACATCATCTGGAAGCACGTAAAATTTTTGGGAAGTTTTAGACATATAGAACCACTTTTCATCAATGTGTAAAACATTGTGAAAACTTTTAAACTGAGGGTGGATGGGCATGCTGTAGGGGTCTACCTGATCTAAACAGAACCTCAACCTTGAAATTTTATTGGCATCTGTTAGGAAGGGTTTGATAGCATTAGAATGGCTCCTAAGCATACCTCTTTTTATCCACTCATGCACGGTTGACTTAGGCTTGCCAATTGCAGCAACTAATGATCTTACATTAGTCCTCTTCCTGAGTGGAGTGTCTGCAATGGCCTTTGCATCCATCACTGCCCTTTTCTTGCGGGTCTTTTCTACCATTCGACTCCTCACATCAATGGCAACCCCCTCCTCTATTTGTTTCTTTTCAATGGCCCATATCTTGCTCACTATTTTTCTAGATACATTAAACTGTGCAGCTAGTTTGTTTATATGCCCATACTGAGCTGAGTATGAACCATTTGGATTTTGCTTTGAATGACCTAGTAATGTGTCACTGATTACCTGCCTGCTTGTGTTCTGCAACTTCTTTGTATTTATGTGAGGGTATTCATCATCCATATGTGTTTGTAGGCCTCTAAGAAGTGCAGTATCCAGCATAAAAGGAAAACAGAAATTTGAAGAGAAGATAGTGCAAGGACAGCAACCAGAAGAAAATAAAGAGAAGAGATTGAAGAAAAAACATGCCAAATAAGGAAAGGGGTGGGAGGTTATATAGGACTGCAACAACAAATCCTATTTTAAACTTTTTGGAATGTTTAGGCGGGTAGTTTTGTAAAAATAGGAGGGAATGTGAATTTTTTTGGGTGATTTGGTAATGTAAAGATGATTCGATGTATCAAACCCATACTCTGCTCCTGTTTTGGCAACGGTAATATTACTCCGTATTGTTCATTTCTTCATTCTACATGTGGCTTTCCTTTTCAACAATTTTTTTAGTAAGGGTATTCTTGTCATTTTATGGCCTTGGTCAACTTCCACTAAAAATGACAAATAGTCAAACCGGGAACTTATTTTCCGGACGGAGAGAGTACTTAATTATTTGCTCTTACTTATAAATTGCTTATAAGTCACCTTATAAATACGCAAAAACATGTCATCTACTGACTTATAAGTTAAAAATAACTTATAAGTAGTTTTGACCAGTTTATGAGCACAGAAAAACACTCACTTAGGAGTGTGGTTCTCCTCTTCTCTTTATAGAGATGTAATTTCTCTTTTCTTCTCCTTACATTCTAATTTTTTTAATATTATTTTTTTACACCTAATTTAATTTAAATTACTTTGATTTAATTTACTTAACCTAAAATTTCAATTAAACCTTTCACTAAAATTAAGTGAAAAAATACAATAAAATCGAAACATAATTGAAAATAATAATAGGGCATTAAAAATATCTTAACACCCCTCCTTGTGTCGTTGCCTGCATTTCCAAGTCACATCTTTGATATCTTGTATTTTATTATCATCAACACCGCACGCTCCATCGGACCAAAATTCTCAACATCGATGGTCATGATTATTTTGAAGTCTTCTTGTTGGTCCCTGACACTCGAGCTC